TCCCTTTAAAAATAAAAATCAATTTGCACCTATCACAGCTGTTTGCATCTATCACAATCAATTTAATTAGTTTCTTAATTTCTCCTCCATCTCAACTTCAAATAATGAAAATGAATTTATACAGAAATTCTTGATCTGATATTCCCCTTTTTCAGCCAGCAGTTTAATTCTATAGGAGCAAGAGATTATATCAGTCCTTAAAAATATTTGTATATCCATGTGTTAAACTTATATTGAATAAATATTTAATTTAAATACTGCTTTACTTAAAAATGCACAAGTACATTAATATTTTGTAAATTTTACCCAATCTCTGTTTGTATCTTTCATCATTAAAGACATTGTATGCTTAAGCTGAAATGGAAGAAAACATAATTACATGTTGGAAGCATCCCATTGTCTTTTATCTATCTGCAGTGCTTAGTGATCATCACCAAAATGATTGCCAATTTCTGATAGCATGTTTTTATCTGTTGAAGGGTACCCAGCCCCAGCAGTTCATTAACCACTTTGGAAGACTAGAATACCCCTTCAATAGAGTCAATGCTTACTATAATCTCTAATTGTTCTGTCTCCCTTTCCAGACATTCACAGATAGTTGCAAAGGAGTTAAGTAGGTAATAGCAGACAAGATCATAAATCAAGGTCTATGCAAAGAGAGCTTCCCTGAGTTAGTCCATTTGAATTTCAAGCAGCAACAGAATGGTACAAATTCCTTCCAGGAATCAAACTGTCAAGTAGTCAGCCAGTCCAAAAGGGTTCAAGAACAAATAAATAAAGGAACAAAAGTCACAAGCTGGAATTCTGAAAGTTGTTTCTAAGGAAGACTGAAGGCAAAGCAACTACATAAATCTGTATGCAGGCAGCTGGCTGCAATTAGTCAGGCCTCACCTTTATCCAAGTGAGGAGCCTCATTGACTGTCATTGCTCTGCTCACTGCTGCCTGCATTGGGACCTAGGACTTGAGGGTCGTCTCTCTTCATCTGACTTTTCCAGCTGATCAGGAGATGCCTGTGATTGCTCAGCTTCCTCAGATGAATTATGGCTTGAAGATTCCTGAGGCTGACAATCGAGATTTAGCTGGAAGGGTGTCATAATTGAGTCTGTCTGAATCTGAATCATGGCCCACGACACTAATATATTTTAGATCATGAATGCTATAATAACTATCACTCCTTATAAACAGAAAGTTGATGATTTGAAACCCAGCAAAAATGTCGTGTTTTTTTTTTAATAGCTATCTTTCTTTCCTTGAGATTCCTTTTACCTGGATTTTAAAAAAATCCAGTCATGTACATATTTCACTATTTTTTTCAGTTACTTCTGGTAGAAGTGTTCACCCTAGCTTTGTACTTTGAGAGCTGAAGATGAAACTTGTCTCTTGATTGGGTGATTGGGAAAATGATAAAACAATGAATTGTTAGACTATTTTTTTTAAAAAGCACAGAAAAAGACAGGAAGCTGAGGAAATAAGAATAGTAATTAATTTTTTCTGCCAAGTTCTGAACTAGCAGATTCTATTTCAAGGAGACTTATAGTCAATATTCCATTACAGAACTCATGATAGTGTAAAGGATAAAAGGCAACAGTAAAATTATTTTTCTTTTAAAAAGTCACTTGTTCCAGTGTGTAAATTATTTGATGCTTTAACTTTATATAATACTAGACAATCTTGTGACCTACTGGGTCATCCTTTGAAAGGCAGTGCAATCTGATGTGGCCAGAATGAACATTACAATGTTAGGCTGACCACATCCTTTTACCACAATGGTGAATGGTCCCTGATAATCAAGAGTTTAGATCATAAACAGAAAAATAATCGTAGTGGCAAATGAACTTCAACAATAATATTTATCTACCTAAACCAGGGGTCTTCAAACTTGGCCCTTTTATGACTTGTGGACTTCAACTCCCAGAATTCCTCAGCCAGCATGCCTGGCTAAGGAATTCTAGGAGCTGAAGTCCCCAAGTCATAAAAGGGCCAAGTTTGAAGACCCCTGACCTGAACAGACTGGAAACCTTATATGGGCTTTTTGCTGAAAGAAGAAAAAAAACTGATTGTAGGATTTGAAAAGATATGGACTAATTGAGGCGTTGAAGTGATTGGTATAACATCTAAGAGGGAAGGAGGATTATAGAACTGTAAATCTGTTAAAGAGAAGATTGGTAGTCATATTTAAAAACTTTTTTTCTTTCACCTTTTCTTTAGATTTGACTTTTATTATATGTAAAATTCTCAACTAATATAAATAATTAAAAAGAATTACTTCCTCTTTCAAAATGTATTTTATTAAGCTGCAGGTGAATACAGAAACTGAGCAAAGATTATTGTCACAAACATGGCCAGAAAGGGTCAATACCTTTTTATGAGAAAGTAGGAATTAGACTCAGCTAATTGGCAGTAGCAAAGCTAAGCAGAATCACACCTGATTAAGATTTAAATAGGAAACTACCAGGAAAACCTAGGATTATAGGTTAGGTTGGTTAGTAGAGAAAAACATACCAGAAGGCACTAACATAGCTAATTCTGTATTGTTGCAAACACTAAAACCAACAACCTATATGAACATGCTCATTAAATCACCAGGAATCTAGTTCAGTTTGAAGGACTTTATTTTTTAAAAGTCACCATAGTGACGCAACAATCAACAGTGAAAAAAAAAAGAATGAAAAAAGGCAGACAATGCAAATACGATACAAGCCTGATACAATTAATGTGAAGATTAGGGAGTTCATTCTGTTCAACAAGCTTATGCATAGTTTAATGTGTGCAAAATGGAAGTTGGTGCAAGAAAATTCTACTATACCCAAGGTTCCCATCACTAGCTACAAGAACAGAGCAGTGTAGCATCAGGGACTGCATGAAATTGTTGGAAAAGATTATAGCTACTCATACATTTTAATGGGAGGAAAGGGTTAAGAAATGCAGAAAATAGAGTCCCCGTGGTATCTCCACAATGGTTCAATGAGTTCCAGGCATTGTCCATAACAGCCAAAGACATTATTCTCTGCTGGTATTGATGCTAATGAAAACCAAGGTGACATGGAGAAGCTGGATCAGTAGTACAATGCTGCAAAGGTTGGGAGCAGAGAAGATATAAGATGGGAAAGCAAAAGGCATTTCTTGAGTAATACTGTGTTTCCCCGAAAATAAGACCTGGTCTTATTTTTTTTGCCTCCAAAAGAGGCACCATGTCTTATTTTGGGGGGGTTTCTTTTCCACTCACCTCATGGCGGTACCCCCGCCCAGCCGGCCCACTTCTTCTGCGGCCAAAGGAGCAGCTTCATTCTGCAGCTAAGAATGAAGCTCTGGCCTGCATTTCACCGTCAGAGGCCTTTTGGAAAGGCCTCTGCAGCTGAGAACCGAGCTATGGATTCAATCCATAGCTTGGTTCTTGGCTGGAGAGGCCTTCCGGAAAGGCCTCCGCCTGCGAAATGCAGGCTGGAGCTCCATTCTCAGCTGTAGAATGAAGCTGCTTCTTCAGCCGCAGAAATGAGCTGGCAATGGTAAGCTCCACCCTCCCCTTAGCTTCATTTGTAGGTGTGTGCCTCGCCCTAAAACTAGGGCTTATTTTGGGGGTAGGGCTTATATTAGGCCGACCCCCCCCCCAAAATCAAGCTAGGGCTTATTTTCAGGGTAGGGCTTACTTTCGGGGGAAACACAGTACAAAATAAGGTTGATGGCTCCTTCTAATTTCAGATCAAATAATGCAAGGGTGAATTTTTTTCTTCAATCTGAGGATCACATTTATCTTATGGGTAGAAAGCCCAGGCTGTATTCCCAAGAATTTTGGAATCAAGGAACCAGAATATAAATTAAATCTAAATTTAAAGATAATTCGACATCACATTATTCCCAAGTATTTAATAACTTTTTTTTATTTTGTCACTTTAAGCCTAACTACTCAAACCAAATTTTAAAGTGGGCTCTGCAGGTCGCTCCCAAAGCTTCTGCATGCATTTGAGATACCAGGTAGTAGGCTTTTTAACGGAGCATTTGATGGAATATCCATAACTTAAGTCCTGTCTAAAAGTTAATCAGTTTCACAATTCATGGAAAAAAATAATGTGAAATACAAACTCCAGATAATTTATTTTTAAAAAAGCCAAAATTGATGTGCCAGATAAATAGGCTTTGTGTTTTTTTAAAAAATGTAGTCAGTCTTGAAAATTATGCATTTGTTTTGTAAATGTAACCTTTGTGCTTATTCAAAGATATCAACTCTTTTGAGTTATTCAGGAAGAGGAATGGACTCAGTCAAAACAGAGACTATGTCCTAGATTAGATGCCTAGATATTTGCTCCTTGCATTTAAAATGTTACAATATGTCTAATAACATTTTATGCTTGCAGTCCATAAATTATTTCAATTTTTAATCTCTCCAGTCAGTTTTTATGTCATACTTTAGAACCTGGCAGTCTCCTGGTATTATTGAACACTTTTTCCATCAAGGTTCACAGCTGATTGTATTTGCTGGAACTGGTAGGAGTTGAGGGGTATATCAAAACTTTGGAAGACAGTGTATTCTTTATGCTTGAGCTATGTCAACATCAGAGGACATCTGCAGTACAAACAGTGGGCATATAATTTGCACAAAAGTTAAACAAATGGCCTTTGAGATGTGTTGTTTTGTCTGATCTATTCCATTTTTAGCCTGCTACAAAGATTTGGGCTGTAAGGACAAAAAGCTACTAAGGAGATGTATCTGAGTGCTGCCATCTTTTGACCTGTGAAAAACATGCAGAAGGAAAATTAGCTATCTTCTAAGATATTGCACTGGAATCTGTGCAAGGGATGGTATTTGCCACTGTACAGCTTGGCAAACCCAACTGGATCTTTTGGAATATTTTGTCTTCGAAGTCTATCCTGCTTAAATCAAGATGCTTCAAGCTGGGGAATGACTGGCAAACAATTAAAATGGTTTCTGGAGAAAGTTGATTGCAGTCTTTCAAACAAAGGCTCTCTAAGATTGGCAAACCAATTAAGCAAAGAAGACCTACATCTGTCAAAGAATTGCTCCTGAGATCTAAATGGTTCAGTTGTTTCAGGTGTCGCCCAACAAAGTGCATGGCTGAATCACCAATGCTACAGTGGCACAAGGAAAGGTGCTGAAGGTCTTTCAGATGTGGTGCTACTGCCTGGATCCCTACATCTGTTATACGGTAGACTTCTGACAGGATAAGCGTCTTGAGAGTGCTCTGGGTGGCAATATTCAATAAGTGCTGGTTGGAAAAAGCAGGAACATTCCAGATTGCAAGTTGTTGGATTCTTGGGAAACTGCAGGAGGTATCTGGCACTTGGAACCAAACAAAAGGAATCTCACAGCATCTCAATTCCAGGGAGGTAAGAGAAGAGGGCATACAGCCATACTGGAATGAACGGAGATCTAGCTCCATCAAGCTCAACTGCTGGAGTTTGGGACATTGTTTACCCAAAGCCTGCATCAATGCTGAGGTAAGTACTTCTTGTTTTCGAAAGGAGAGGAGGGATCCCCGTAGCTTCAGAGTCCACAAGCTGCCTTGGAAATAGTTCCGTAGAAGGTGCCATAAGATCTTGGAGGATATCTAAAGGGAAGGAAAAAAACAATAGAATTGGCAACTGGAAAAAATATTGCAATGCATATAATAACTGAAAACTATAATTGGCACAGAAACCTAACCTAACCTGCAAGCTTATGACCACAAACCAGATATGAAATAGCTCAGTGAATCTTATTTCTAAAACAGACGAATAAAATAGAATTAGACTAGATGTTTTAAATCCTGTATCAGTGGCATCTACAGTATGTGATGTGTGAAATGTCAAAATGGCAGACAGAACATTGTATACGCAAGCTCTGCTCCTTCAAAAGGTTCATGTGAAATTGATGCAGGTACTAAAAAGATGGGGCGTGCATTTCAATGTTTCGTTGGCAATCTTGCCAATTTCAATCTCTTGTGCAGAAACTACCACATTCTATAGTTTTAAGTATTATCGGGTTAGACTTTTTTGTCTGATAAGCATGCTGTCTGTGAACATACTTGTTATTTACCTATATAAAAACTAGAATAAAATTACATCAACTATATCATCAATGGAACACTGCTTATAATAAAGCATGCTATGTTGCACAGATTAAAATAATACTATTCATTTTGCCAGATATTCTCCTGAATTACACCACTACGAAGATGTCTCTCTCTCTCTCTCTTTTAAATTGTAGTGTATCTTTTGTCTGATCTGGCCCATTTTGCTTGTTCCCTCCCAAAGCCTTTCCCAAAACATCTCCTATTTTCAGAACTACTTGTTTGGTAAATTCATATAGCCTCCCTTCTCATATATGCGACTATGGGTTAGGCATTCCGACCCTGCAAGAAGAGAGGTCCACATGTCGCCACAAGAAGTTGTCCCGCACCAAACGATGCCACCGTTTGCAGACTCTGCAGAAAAAGAAGATTGGTTAACAAACACACTCATCTTCCCTAAAGGAAGAGATCAAGATGACCCTGACGGCTTGCTTCTCTCCCCCCACCCCCCACCCCAGGTATTCCTAGATCAGGGGTAGGCAACCTTGGTTCATGACTCGTGGACTTCAACTCCCAGAATTCCTGAGCCAGCCATGCTGGCTCAGGAATTCTGGGAGTTGAAGTCCACGAGTCATAAAAGAGCCAAGGTTGCCTACCCCTGTCCTAGATGGATGTCACGGGAGTTATTTGGCCCTTGCACAGTGTTTCCATCGATACGTTACTTCGCATTGTGACGAGTTTAGCCCTCGCGCCACAAGCACAGCGCTGGGATGAAGCCATCCATCGGCATTTGACCAAACGCTGCGCATGCGGGCGAACCTATCCTGAAAGTAGGACTACAAGACAACGTCATTGAACGTTGAGAGGGGGGAGGCGGGTTCCCATGGAAATAGAGACCGAGAGGCGGAGCCGACTACTACCTGGTCACGCCCACTCGGTCACGCGGCGGCAGCCAGACCAGAATCTGGAGCAGAAGCGAGTCCGGGAGAGAGGAAAGAGTCGGGGGCGATAGCGCGGCCATCATTTATCACAGCGTTTTTTTCTACCGGTATTAGAAGAGCGGCAACTGTTGGCGGAAGGGGTTTGTAGAACTTCCGTTTCCCAAATGACCCCCGCACTTCCGGGTCGACGAGCCTGGATTGTTTTGCGCGAGGTCTCCATATTCCGCTGAGGGGTTGTGGCGTCTCGGCTGCCTCGGTCTCAAAGGAAGCCTGCTCCGTGGTGAGAGTGGAGGGCTCTTGGAGGTGGGGCGTATTTCGAGTCGCGTTGGTGGTTGGGCCTGGTCGTTGAGGGCGGTTGTGAGAATGGGGGAAATTATGCGTGATAAGGAGACTTTTCTTCCCACCTGTCAACGCCTGGGGCTTTGTAAGGCTTCTGCGTCTAGTACACGGAGGCCTCTAATGCAGTTCCAGAGGGGGAGTTTCAAGATGTATACAGTGTACATTTAGCAGTGTTTATCAACCTTGGCTTTTTGAAGATGCTGGGGAATTCTGGGAATTGTTCATCTTCAAGCGGCCAGAGCGGATGAGAAACGCCATTAGTGGCCATTAGCTTGAGAATTCCCTTTCCTCCGCTTAAAATATGTTTTTAAACCATATTCGGTGTTTATATCCGACTGCCGGATTACTATTTTTTGACATTGATTATTTTATTTAGCTTTCTAGCAGAGCCGAACGTCAACGATCAAGATGATTGAAGTAGTTTGCAACGATCGGCTGGGCAAGAAAGTTAGAGTGAAGTGCAAGTATCTGAAACCAAAGAAACCGCCTTGGGATACCAACTATTTTCCTTTTATGTTTAGCTGATCTTTTGGGCTGTAAAATTGCAAGAAAGGGATTCTAGATTGAAAATATTTATTACGGGTACCATTAATTTGGTGTGAATGTGGCTTAAATAGATGTTTCTCTGTTTTGCTTGTCTGATGTTATACACACACCAGATATAAAAAGTGCAACCACACTATTGCAAGTTTTCTTTTGTTTTTATTTCCCCCTACAGATTCATCTTGATCTGATTTTTTTACATCTCAAAAACCTGGCATTTAAACAGGGGTGTATAGACTTTTTATATCCGTTGTTTTCCCTAGATAAGCCTAGAAATGGGGATCTGTTATTTTGAAATCTTTTTCCCTGCATAACCACATTATGAGATGGGAGTCTTAGGAATCTACAGGAAATTCCAATTTGGAGATGAAAATTTTGTGGTGCTAGTAGCATGGGAAATTGAAAGAAAGTGAAGAATTCTTCATGACTGCTCTTTCTTTGTGTGACTGATCAATCGCTTAGCAACCTTTCAAAATTACAATGAACTCTGAAAAAGGTTCTTATGACCTGCATTCAAAGTTCCAATAGCCACCCACCCCTATAGTCACATGACAACAATGGCATCTGGCCCACATTTATTGCTGTTTGCAGCATCCTGCAGTCACATGATCACAATTTACAAAGTTTTTGGTGGAAACTGGCATTAACATCCAGTTTCCAGCAAAAAAACAAAAACAAAAAAACAACCCCATAGCAATGGGTTTGCTTAATGACCTCTGCAAAAAGGGTCATAACACCCATTTAACAACTATCACAACTTATAATTGGAATTGCAGGCTCTATTATGATTGAGAATTACCTGTATTAAAAATATTTGACTTGAGCAATTCCTGAAAGCATCGTGTAGCTTCAGTACTTTGTCAGCTCAAGGAAGGCGAATGTTATCTACCATTTTTAATATAGGTTCATATTTAGGTGTTGTCCTCAAGTTGGCTGTTCTTAATCCAGGGATTGTCTATAGTCAATATATGCAGATGTATTTGTGCATAGATTTGAAAGTTCAAACAATAGTCCTTTGGTCATCTGTATATGAACAATGTACAGAATATCTGCATCCATCCCCCATTTCACACTGTACAAGGGATTCAGTTTCTGATTAAGTTGTGCATAACAAATAGCTTATTTAGTACTTATAATATACTGGGCCCTATTTTCTCATTTATTTCTTTAACCAATATTACTGCTCAGCACTGATGATTGCATCAGGGATCTGAAGAAGCTTATTGCTGCCCAAACTGGTACTCGCTGGGACAAGATAGTTCTAAAGAAATGGTAAGTAGTCTCTTCAACTTACTCTACTGATTCATAACATGCTTTGAATACAACTACTCGGGTGATCAGTCAGTCAAATGGTTAGACTGGATTTGGCATCTTTATCTACTCTTAAAATCCTTTCCAAAGATCTGATAGGCAGATATTGTTGTCCCATGGTGTTAAAATTATTGTCGCAGAATGTATGCTGTTCCAAGTAAAGTTGCTGTTTGAATTGACTTATAGTGATTTTGTCATACAACTATTGCACCTTTTTATACCTAACAAACATACGTAAGTCTTCTGCCTCTTATTTTCCCCACAAAGTCACTTAATCTGGTTGTTTATGCCTAAGGCAGGTCTCACCTTCCTCTCTACTCATGTCACCAGTGACATATCTTTTATTGTAAATCTCATAATAGCTACTGTGTTGTGTGGCTTTCTTATACAGTGGAGGCCACATGGCTCTGTCTTTGGAAATGGGCTTCAATTTGGGAGTGGCTGCACTTAATTGGGGCTGTTCCAAAATGGTGTCCACTTCTGAGATGGAGCCATGCGGCTTCCATTGTGTAGGAAGGCCACACAGTGAAGCAACTCCTAGAAGATCTACAGTAAAAAATAAGTGACTGATCAGTGATGGGAGGTGGGAAAGAGGATGTGGGACCCAGCTGGGTGGAAAGCAGGCCAAAGGTTTGCAGGGACCCAGAGGGGCAGGAAACTGAGCATGGGGTGCCTTGGGCTAGGGAAGGCCCAGGGTAGGCCACTTGTGAGCTGGGCCTGTTCTAGGGCTTCCATGACCCTGCTCCTTATTGACCACATCAGGAAATGGATGGGAGTTGTTAAGCAACACGATCATGCGGGTGCCTCGCTTAATGACCCCATTACAGTCTAAGTTAAGGATTACCTGTATCTCATAGTTTAGGAAGAAGCAACTGCGGCCTCTAATTGATGAAAATGGAATAAATTGCAACAAACTGAGATTTATGCTTGAAAGAGAAACCTTGAATTGTGACTAGCAGCAGACTGATACTCTGTATAAGTATTTAAGATGGATACCATTTGATGAATGAGTTCTTTTACTTTTGATCGGAACAAATTTGTGGTGGTCCCCACAGTACCAGCTCTTTAATGCTGATTGGCCTTTCATTTTGTTGTTGTGATTGTTTATATGGGCAGTCTTCAACTTATGACCAGTCACTTCGTAGCTGTCCGAAGTTATGATGGACTTACCTTATTTACATATGACCAAGATCTAAAATTATGGTGGTTCTTTCCCCCCGCCCCATGAACGAATAACCACTGTGAAAAAGGTCCATAAAATTGGGTTGAGGATCACAACTTATGACCATGATAGGCAGGCTTCATTATGGTCATATGTCGAGGCCTACCTATATTGTATTGATTGTGATAATTGCTGACTTAATTTTAACTGAATTGTGGAAAAACTATAGCTACTATTTTTATACATATATTTTTATATATATTGTAGGTATACAATTTTCAAGGACCATGTGATGCTGGCAGACTGTATCCTTTAAAAGATTGACAGTAATGAAGAAAATGGTCAGATGACTAGAGAAAGAAAATGTGGCATTTTAAACATTCTGTAAAATTATGACTCTCGTGTGGTTTTTATTTTTTGGGAAGGCATTTAAATTTTAGTCAAATACTAAATCATTATCCTGCACATGTTTAAAAATACAGTCTTAATTGATTCTAACCCCTTTTAGACATTTTAGCATGCATCTATCTATCCATCCATCCATCCATCCATCCATCCATCCATCCATCCATCTATCTATCTATCTATCTATCTATCTATCTATCTATCTATCTGCAAATTGACTGTTTTATCTTTGTTCTGAGGTCGAACCACTTTTGGGATATATAGAGCAGCCTATTTTAAGATCAGAATGTTTCAATATTAAAATTAAAGGTATGCTGAACTGCTTTGAGCACTACATTTTGCAAATAAACCTTTTTTTTACATATGTGAAACAGCTCTGTTCCAAATATAAACAACTTCTAAAAATGTTCAAAATGAAAAATGGCATGAGGCTTTGTACTCAATAGTTCAAATTGAAAATTAAAGCTTTCTAGACCTCTATCTTTTCCATTTTCCAAGCCTTTTCCATCCAGTATGCTTCTTTTATAAGCCCAGAATCCTCAGCAATATAAACCTTTCCAGTTCTATCAAGCCTTTAAGACAGAAATTGTTTGAAGGGCCCCATATCCCATTTTTGTAATTTTTAGGAATTACAAGGCACTCTGTTGCTTGATACCCATACTATTCTGTTTCTCTGTCATCTTGAGCTTTGAAAGAAATGGAAATTGTAGATCTTGATACTAATTAACAAGCACATTACCATTCTTTATCTCAAGATAATAGAATTGGGCTTTAAATCTCTGAATAACTGGAAAAAAATATTTGGGGCATTATACCAATCTATATGGTCATATTATAAATATATATGTTTGCATATATCTGAACAGCATTGACAGTATTTTCAAAGAATGGTCGTTTGGCATGATGTTATTTTCAAAGGCAAAGCCTACTTATAATTAGTACTCATTAATATTTCCTTGTAAAAATTAACCTTAACTCCTTACTTTCAGATGAAATCCATGATGGTATGAACCTGGAACTGTATTATCAGTAGTGTTTTGGTCATGACAAATACTATCTTTTGCTATGTTTCCTTGTTCTGAATTTCTCAGTGTATAGATGGGTTACTTTGTGGCTTGACATTAAGTCGGGAATATTTTATCCTTGATGGCAATAAATCAGGAAGCCTCTCTTCAAACCTTGTTTTATGTATTTGTATTGAATAAATGTGATTGACACATGTGCTCTGTGTTTCTTTAAAAAACTATTAACCATGTTGTTAGTGAATGTAACTTTAAAAATACAGTTCTCAGGAGATAAGCAAGAAAGTTCCCCCCCTCCTCCCAGTTTCACCTAGCTGACAGCAAATC